AGAAAGTAGTGTCCAACATTGTAACAGATGTTGGAACATCTACTGAAACATCCATAACTGAGAAAACATATGTAACAAAGATGAAGTCCCTCAAGAAAAAGCATGATAAAATACTTGATTTAGACTCAGATGTTGATGAAGATTGGGTCAATTTCATTAACTCAGGAGGTAGAGCTGGATAGCTACTGTATGCTATCTTTTATAAAAAAGAGTCTTTTGTTTGAGTCTGTTTATTTGTTTTAAGTTGAGTCTATTGTTTTTATGTGTTTTGTGTCCATTTTATTTGGGTCTTAGTTTTTGTCTCTTTGGGTGAGTCCAAGTTTTTGTCTTTTTGGGTAGGTCAATTTGTGTCTGTATTTTGTCCTTTGCTAGTTAAGTCTGTTTGTGTCTTTTGAGTCTTGTTGTGTTTTGTTTCCTTCTGTTGTTTGAGTCTCTTCTTGTTTCAATTTCTTTCTACTCAGTTTTTGTCAATTTTTGGCTAAAAAGAGGGAAAGAAGTGTCAGTAGGTATAGGTCTAAGTAAAGTGTTGTTGCTTGATATATGCAACATTTTAGGGGTTTCATGACTGTCTTTCATGTGAGTCTTGAGTCTATTTTGTTTCTACTTCTGTTGTTACTTCTGATATGGGTATGTGCAGGATGTTCTACTGGATGTTCTAACAACATGTTTGTTGTGTCTTGTGTTATGAGTTATGAGTGTTATTGTGTCTTATGCTCTGAGTTATGTGTGATGTTTCTGCTGAATGTTCTTCTAATGTCTTGAACTCTGATAATTCAAGGTTGAGTTCAGCCTGGTTTTCTTGTGTTTCGGAAAGAGCTTCTGCTTCTTCTTGAGGGAAAGATTTATTCCTCTGTGACAATAATTGGTTATGTGTTTTAGGGAGAGTAACTTGGATAAATTTGAAATAACATGTTATCTTCTTTCTCATGTACAAAGTCTCATGTTTTTAACATGTATCTTGTGTTTTTGTTTGTGGTTTTATTCATATCTCTAGGTTTATCATGATTTGGTTGTTTTAGCCAAAATTTGCCAAAGGAGGAGATTGTTAGATCTATGGTTTTAGGATTGACAACAATTTTGCTAAAACATAGTTCATGAGAGATGCTAAGAAAGATTTCATAACATCTTGATGTAACTGCTACAACATAGTTTGAAGGTTACACTAAAGACAAATGTTTTGTCAGGTGTTGTGACATGATGTACCAGAACAGCAGTACAAGTTATTTTAAATCTTGATAGATTTGATTTTATTTTGTGATATCTCTTTGGATATATCTCAATGATTTGCGCTGGTCAAAAGTATTTAATCTGGAACAAGTGAATCAAATCTTCAACAATATTAAAGTTTTTAAAATTGAATGTTGAGATAATTTAGAAAACTTGAAGATTTGTTCCAAGATTTAAGGAGATTTTTTCCACATAATTAGTGCAACCCTCAACTTGTGGATCAAGGAATATTTTGGTGAATATTTTGAAGCTCATAGACTATTGAGTTGTATTAAAAGAGAAGACCTAACCTAATGTATTTTAACTTTTCATAACTGTAAAATTGTGGGAAGTCTAAGTCTTAGGTTTATGAGAGTCTCTAGTGTTATTTGTAACTCACTCACGTATCTTTTTATACAGTAAGGTAGACAGTTTGTTACTTGATTATTTATCAATTTATTATTCTCACTCATGAGCTTTTAAACAAAGAGTTTAGTATTGTTCTTGGTTGAAGCTTTTAAGTAAAACTAAGTATTATTCTTAGTTAAGAGTCTTGGCTAAGTATTGTATATGAAGTGCATTCTTTTGTTCTGGTTCTTATTCTAGTCACGAGGTTTGTGGTTGTAGGTGTCACTGCGGTGATTGGAAGTGAGAGAGACATCTCATATCTAGATGGTGATTTGTAGGTAGAAGTTGTACAAGGTAGTGATTAGGAGAAAAGTTCTAAACTGGGACTGTTTAGGCTTTGAACTAGTACTATCATAATGAATTTCCTTCATGGCTTGGTAGCCCCCAGAGTAGGTGACGTTGCACCGAACTGGGTTAACAATATGTTATGTTATTTATTATTCTGCAATTTATTTTTTAGTTTGATATTATTCTATATCAGTAACAAATGTTAGAACATCTGTCTTGATATTGTGTTCTGATGTTGGGTCACCGGTATTAACATGTGTTGCAAGTTCCAAAAGTTCACAACTTAATAACGACACCATCATTGAACTGAAACCAAGTGAACTTCCTACCTAAGAGGGAGATATCACTACTATAAATAATACATTTGACGATGAAGCTTTCACCTCAGCAAAAAAAACTGAGGTATAATGCCAAGACGCACCATATAGGTATACAACAAAATTTAGATTTCACGAAAGATTTATTGTAAACAATGTATTTTAATATTCTGTGTAAATAGTAATACAAAAAAAAGAAGCTTATCACCTTGGTGTTTGTTTTGAACCGAGGGATATGTTAAGCGTTTTTTAGGATTTTCACCGGCCTTAAATAAATCTTTGCCATCTATTTAATTATTATCAACACTCAAGACTCTGCCATTAATGATCCGCGTGAAACCTAAAAGACATCCATTATAGAAGTATGTTAATTATTAACATTTCCAACCTAAATGAAATATGAAGCGCTTGAAACCTAAAAATACTTGGAAAAATTTTCTATGATGGATTGCAAGAGCAGAAAATCATCTGAGTTTAAGGTTTGTTTTCTTAAATATTTATTTGAACCTAAAATCATATTTGAATATTGATTTTAATTATCTTACCCTTTTTTATCAGAAATAAATGCATGCAACATTCAATAATTCGAAGATCTAAAATCTAAATCTTCTGAGAATTTGATTTATATCTAGATCTTTAGAGAATTTGATTTTTATTTTAATATTATATGAAAACAATGTAATATTCTAGATAAACAATATAATAATTAAAAAAAAAATCTTATTCCTCAGTTTTCTAGATAAACCGAGAGATAATATATACTAATTTTGAAAATAACAAATAGTTTTCAAAACATCCCCATTTCAAACCAACACCGAGAAAACCATGATCTGAGAAAGAGAAAAATGACCTACCATTTGAATTACACTAAATAGAGAGAAGACCACCACTACTACCAACGGATGGAGTGAAACTCCAATCACATCAAAAAAAATCGCACAAGAAAAACAAAAGAGATTATAAACCTCGGTCATAAAATCTAAACATGTATCCAAAATAAACTTCCCCGCCTTATTTTTTTTAACCCTCCCACCCAAATCTCTAACATTAAGGGTGTGTTTGTTTGATGGATTAAAATTACAAACTCACAAATCTCGTTCTTAGGAATATCAATGCTTGGAATTTCATTCACATTCATTTGTTTGGTAAGTTATTAAGGTTTTTAGGAATATTTTTAAGTTTTATTTTATTTATAATTTTAAAATTTTAAAATATAAAAAGAAATATGTTAAAATAATATAGAAGTAAGTAGTTATAGGTGGTTATTTTTTATTCTCATAAAAATATAAGATTCTCACCCTTTATCATGAGAATAAATATTTAAACTTTCATGAATAAATGATATTTTTTGAAATAAAAAGTTTTTGAAAATAATTTATTAAAACTTGAAACAAAGATAAAAATATAGGATTCTTAACCTCACATTCGTGAGAATACAATTTGTATCCATGAAATAAACACCCTCTAATAAAATAAATTAACAATGACTAGTAGTATCCTTAGAAATTATATTTAGTTATAGAAACTTATAACACCAACCTAAAATATCACATTTTTTATTCAATATCTTAAGGCACTATAAAGTTTGAAAGATTGATAGTAGTATTGATGCAAGAACAACGATGTTCCAACTCGAAACCAACACCATCAATGATGCCTAACTGCTCTAGTTTCAGAGTTAGACTCGTCCCACATGTTTCAGCAACATTAACTGATTAATTAGTAGTAGCTTCATAATTAATTACAACACCCTTGGCCCAAAGAAAAAGCAATTCTAAAGAAAATGATACTTAACTGCACCATAAATTTATCCGTCACCACAGAGGATGAAGCACTCAATAAATGTAGCTTCTTTGGTAGTTCATACATCCTAAAAAAAGTTTATAAAATTTTATGAATAACACTATTATAAGATGAAAATCTAGAAAATAATTTAAGATAACCTTTTTTCCACAATTGTGTAACATAGATGGTTATATATTGTGGCTATTTAATGTGGAAATTTGTAGTAAGGTTTATCTATTTATTGCTTCACCCTCTCGAATTTATGGAGCAATGAACATGACGCAACACCTTAACGCTCAATATAGCATTTAATGTAGTACTATAACCGACGTAACCTAATTAATGCAATTTCAATCTTTTTAATCTTCATTAATTATATACTCAGATGAAGTAATCATCTTGCTCTTTACAAATATATTACTTAATTTTAAACGTAAGGATTACCATATACTAGTATTAGTTTTCAAGTATTTAATTTACATTTTTTACTATATTGTTATGTCCTTTATTTTTCTTATAATTAAACTTTTTTTTTATTGTTCTATGTAGGGCATGGGACAAAATGAATGGGTATTATATTTTGATTAATGTTAAATTTTTAACTAAATTTAATTTTTAAAATACTCAATTTTTTTATTTCTACTATACTATATAACTTTTCATTACTAGAAAAAAATCATAATATAGAACATTTTGTTACAACATTAAGAAACATGGATAAATTAAAGATGATGAAATTGAAGAACAACACTCTTATATATACATAAATATGATACAATACACTAGGTTAGTTTCTAATAAGTCACACATTGACTTTCTAACAGTCAAATTTAATAAACTACTAAGAGGTAGATTAAACACTACTACCCTTTGTTTTTGAATTATATAATAATAGTAATAATAATCTAAAAATAAAAGATAACAACATAGGCTTATTAATTAATTGGAGCAAAGAGAGGTAGTTTTTTTTTTGTTGTTGTTGTTGACGATTGTGATTTATGACAAGAAACTAAACCTTGTTCTCTTCAAGAATTTAGAAGGATTCTGATCTGGTGGTGGATGCATGAATTTGCAATTAGGGCAAGAAGGTGACAATTTGCAAAGCATTACCAACATGTGACACCTCATACAAACTGTTGCTATCATTTCTTTGTAATCTCCATCTGAATCTGATGAGGATAACCATGAAGGAGTTGTTGTTGAATCCTTTTTCTTCTTCTCGAAATTCTCGTAATTAGTTTCTTCTTTTTTCTTCAATGTTTCACTTGTCAAATTAAGCTCTAGGTCTAAGCTTATTTGACCCATTGATGAGTTTTCAGGTAAAAGCCAATCTCTCTTTGATTCTTGTGTTTTCATATTCATTTTTGTGTTACACAATGACTGCATGAGAAAATAAAAAATATGTTAGATAAAAAAAATATATTAATATCATACAAACTACTAATTCAAATAGCAGAAACCGATATTAGTAGGCTAGACGTCAATACCAAAAAGTGATAGAAAAATTATATATTCATGTATATGTACCTGAAGGGTGAGATATTGTTGCCATTTATCAGAAGGCAAAGGTGTATTGAGATGAAGTTCAATATCAAAGATGGATTTTGTTTTAGGATGATCATGAGTTTGTTGATCCTTGAAGAATTCATGATGAGAAAGTGAATGATCCCATTTTCTCTTTTTTTGAGAAGCTTCAAAATCTGTAGGAGATTCTTTTTTTGGAGTCATGGTTAGTGCTTGGTGAAGTGAAACCATAGCTTCTTTAATTTCTTTGTGTTGTAGTAGTAGTGAAATGTTTGATGAGTTTTAGGTGGTTATATAGTAGTGGAAATTTTGGATATTTATTATTATTATTTTATTATTATTTTATTATTATTATATGATGTGTCATCCAAGTGGCTAATTTTTCATAGTACACAAACGCATTCACCTACCTATATTAAACTTCTATATTTATATATTGATTAGACTTTCGATATTTGGTATTTTATTCTTCTAGTACATTTTAAATTTAATTTTAAAATTTTAAAATTTTAAAATATAATTAATATTGTTATTTAAAATATGTCATAATTAAATGTTGAAAAGGATAGTTAGACAAAGAAAATAAACCTATTTTTTTATGATAAAAATTATTATATGGAGTTAACATATCATTCTTAATTAGTTTGAAATTATTGTTGAGTTTAATGTATAGGTTTGGGAGGGTAGTAGTGAAAAATGGACGGGTACATGTTTTCATATCTGAAGTACTTCTTTACCAGGAGGGACCGGATGAAAATATGAAAAATAAGTATATGTTAAAATATATTTATGAGAAAATACTTAAATATTAAAATATATGCAAGTTTTTTGAGCAATGATCTTACTATAAATTAAAATTATGTTTTAATTATATCATAAACTATCATCTAATTATATTTTCTTCTCTAAATATTTGAAATCTACTACAATTAGTGTGAGCCATGTCTAATTTTCCAATTTTGCTTATAGTTATATGTCAACTTTAAACTACATGTGATATTTTGATTTACAACGTGTGAAATTATACATTTATATGTCATTGGCAACAACATTTGAACTACTACTATACATTTGTAGCACAACAAAACAAAAGCAGAAGACTGATATAAATTAAATTAAATTTGGCTTGTTCATGTCATGCTATAAATTAATTTGGTACTTATGGTTGAAAGTCGGTGAGCAAAGGGAGGGAGAGGAGATGTATGGCATAGTTCATTAATGTTTGTAGTCTGTATTACAGTTGAAAGGAAAGGTCTTCAATGCCAGTGTTCTTTAATAGATCATAACTTCAACTTCTACAATTGAGTCACTAAAAACTATAAAGAGTAAAGATTTCATCACAAGATTCACACCCATGATCAATATGTAAAAATACAATTATTGCAAAAAATATATTAGTCCTTAAGCAACAATATTAATTCCTAATTAAAAAAAAAACTAATGTTTTTTATTTTATATATTAATATTTAAAGTGAAATTAATTACCACAGTCGAGGAGTTCGAAGAGCGACGGAAGTGTTAATGAGTTAAACGTTTAGGATTCTAAGAGATCTTAACGTATATTCATCTAAAACTTTAAGACAATGAGAGTATGCGTCATTTCTATTATTTATCTAATATTTCTTCTATTTCTAATCGATATGATACTTAACCCACTAGAAATAATATATTTCATGACAAAACTTTCACCTCAACTATTAAAACTATGAGGTCAAAGGACATGACACGTGCCGTTGTTTTTATAAAAAAACAAATCTTATACCTTTGTTTTGCTCAAAACAGACATGAAATATTGCTTAGGATTTGAGCTTCGATTTCCAGTACAAATTATTTTGCCAAAAAGGCGTCTTTATTTTATAAGTCATATTATCCCTTGATTTTATATAATATCGATATGAAATATTGATTAATATTTTATTTAATTAAATTGAACACAATTTTTACTTCGGATATAGGATTTTTTCAAAAATCGAGATGTAAATTCTAAACAATATTTTATTCTTTCATCAGAATGTTAAGTCTCATTCACTTTTTACGTCCTAGCAACGAAGGAAACACTAGTCTTCTCCAACGAACGAAAAGAACACCAATCTTCTCCAACTTCTCAATGTTCTCCTAGGAGTACTACTACAAAAAACACATCTAACGTCAGACGCGAAATGCATTTGATGTCGATTACAAAATTGAGGTAAATAAGAGTGTCATTAAAGGTTATCCCTTATCACCTTAGGTATTAAAACGCTGAGGATTTACGTTAACTGCACGTGGATTCGATTCCCATCATCTGCATTTTTATTTTTTTCATTACTTGATGGCGCGTCAATTATTAACACTCGGTTTTTTGATGAACCGATGTAATATATCAATATTATTACTTCGGCTTGTTTGGGAAACCGAGGGGCTATAATTTTTTTCTACTGTCGTCTGCACCTAAATTACAAAATACAAACCACAAAATACATAATACAAAATATAGAACCAATGTGTGAGTACAACTTTAATATACGGTGTTTTGTATGATGTCAAAACCAAAAAAGATGGTCCGTCGACAAAATTCAATGCATCTCTTTGTCTTTTGACACTCCTCTGTATTATAGGTCTTAAGAATCATCAAAAAACACTTTGAAATTGACCAAACTCATTGAAAAACATTTTCTGCACATTTTTATCTTGTATGTGTCGACACATACATCATAGAGGTCGACACATACTAAAAGATTTTTGAAATTGAAGAAATTCTTATTTTATGTGTCGAAAAATCCATATTTCAGGTCGACACATTTACTCACGTTTTAAAGTCTGTAGCTATTGACTTGCTCAAGTCGACACATAGAGTCCTTCAGGTCGACACATGCAACTTTTTTATACAGTATGTATCGACACATACAAGTTTGAGGTCAACACATAAATTATGTTTTTGTCAAATTTTCATTTTATTTTATTCCGAATTTGTCTTTTTTGCCCTAAAATTTTCCAAACTATAAATACCCACTCATGCATCATTTCTAACTTGATGATACCATAAAATTAGCCTACTTTTCCTCTTCATCTTCAATCTTCCAATCTATCCATACGCACCAATATTACATTGTGATGATATTTCGTCAGAGTTCCATTTAGATGAAGAATTGAAGATTTCCAATTGGTTTGGGTTGAGTTATTGTAGGGGTCTTCATCCCGAAAAACCATCGAGTTTGTCCTCCAACATCATTTGTTGAATTGGAGTTTTCATGCAAGATCGTGTGAGAAGGAATATTCCATGTGAAAAATCTCTTGGAGTGTTTGAAATCTTTTCAAGGAACCTTAGAGTGGTTGAAATCTTTTTAAGGAAGTATCAAGAGTTGGATGATAAAATCAGTGATCTTGTGTTGATAATGTGCAATCGGATTTACTCGAGTGAAAAATCTATTGGAGTGGTTGAAATCTTTGCAAGGAACCTTGGAGTGTTTGAAATCCTTTTAAGGAAGTAGCTTAAGCGGCGAATATGTTACATCTATCGGTTGATTTGATCTTGCTTAAGATCAAAGATTGAAAGAAGGAGCATCAACACCACATTGGAGAATTTCGTATTGTTGTTTCTAACTCTTCCATTGTATTAAATTTTTTACATATGATAATTATCCTAGTTTTATTGGAATTAGGCGCAGACATATCCACACGCGAGGACGACAATGGGAAATTGTGTAGACAAATTCCTTGTGTGTTTTTACTTTTTCGCTTTTACTTGATTTCAATTTCATCGATCTTTTTATCAAATAACATTGTGATAGTAATTGAATTATAAGAATTTTTCACTCAAAATCTCTTTTTGAATTAGGTGTGGGTATAACTTATAATCAATTTTAATTATAAGTGGTTTTGTATATCAACACTACTCAAAGAGAAATTCTAAAAATTCACTTGCACGTCAAGTGTTTGATAAAACGATTAAGTTAGTTCTTTGATTATTTAGCCTTGGAAATAACATTGCAAAGTGATTGTGTTCAAACAATAATTAAGTGGATTGTTGACTTGAGTTTGTATTGATCAATTACTCAATTTTATCTCATAGATTTTTCTTTCATAATTTGTATATATGAGTTTCCAATAAGTTGTTTTTTAGACTACTTATCCAGTAATTGCTTTCGCATCAAAAAATTTTGAAAAAAATTAAATTCTAGATTTGTGTCTAGAATAAATCTTTGCGCCTCTATTCACCACCCCTCCAGATACGTGTCGTCGTCTAAAAAGTGGCATCAAGAGCCCGGTTGATTCCAACTTAAGAACACTCTTTAGAAAATGGCTTATGAACCTAAGGGGGTCATAAGAGAGCTCCAATTTTTGCGGGAGAAAATTATACTTATCGGAAAACTTGTATGCAAATTCATATCAAATCATATGACAAAGGTGTTTGGAAAGCTATTCAAAATGGTCCAACAATGGTGACATATGATGTTGATGGTATTACTATGCCAATGCCGGAAAATGTATGAGATGAAAATGATAATAAAAAATGGTCTTAATTGGAAAGCTAAGAATATCATTGTATCTGCACTTGGTGTTGATGAGTTATATCACATTTTCCATTGTCAAACCGCTAAGGCTATGTGGGAGACTCTACAAGTTTCCCATAAGGGAACCAATGAGATCAAACAAGCTAGGATTAATACACTCACTCAAGAGTTTGAACTCTTTCACATGAAAAATGGTGAAACCATTGGGTAAATGCAAAAGAGATTCTCTCATCTTATTAATCGTTTGAACTTACTAGATAATCCTATTTCCAATGCTATTGCTACTAATAAAGTTTTGAGATGTCTTACTAGGTATTGGCATCCTAAGATAACTGTGGTCAAGGAAGCTAATAATCTTGAAACACTTGATCTCACCGCAGTTTTTGGTAAGCTTGAAGAATACGAACAAGAACTCAAGCTTGGATAAATATTAAAATAATCTTGAGAAGAAAAAGAAGAATAAGGAAAATCACAAGGAGGAAGTTATGAAGTCCAAAGCTCTTAAGTCTTCTAGTTCTAAATCCTTAAAATAAGAGCAAAGTAAGGATAGTGACTCTAGTGATGATGAGATTTCGAATGATGAAGAAATGAGACTATTTATGAAGAAATATAATAGGTATATTCATAAAAATGGAGTTAAACATTTCGACAATAATCTCATGAAGTTTAGAAGGCAATCCTCCTCTCTCAAAGAAGAAAACAACAAAAAGGACAAAGAAAATTTTATTTGCTACAAAT